CCCAGCCCGGCCTTCTCCAAGAAGAGCCCACGCAGATTTCCCTCATGGCTCCAAGCCTGCGAGAAAGGCAGGGTCTCCCTGACACCCAGAACTGCTGAGACAGAACCTGCATGCTAGCGAGAGCCCATGTGCTTTCCTACATCATGTGAGTTGGAGAACTGGCTGTAGAGATGACCTGGTAGCACCCTGAGCCATTGCAGTGGGGAAGCCACACAGGTTTGCCTGTGGTTTTCACCTCAGATCACCCAGCTGTGCCAGTGGGAGAAGAAGGACACAAGCCCACTCTCCTGGAGCTCAGCCCACTGAGCTGGGGATGGGGTGGGTGAGTCTGGAGAGAGGGGCCCCACAACACCAGAAAAATCGGGCCGCAGACAGACATCCTGGCTGCCAGCCAACAGACACCCAAGTCCAAGCGTGCCTCCAGGAGGAAGCAGGCGCAAAGCCCACTGGCAACAGTGCTGGGCCAGCTGTGAGAAAGCGTGCTTAGCTGGCTCTCTCAGAACACACCCCACTGACCTACTAGAAATGAAGTCAGGCCCTGTACAGTGATGAGATGCGCTCCTCTCATCAAACTTGAGGCAGAGATCAGCCAGGAGAAGAAGAAAGGGGAGCCAAGCAGCCCATTTGCTGTAATGAATTGGGCTGGGCTGGAGAAGACCAGAATCTGACATTCGTCATCTGGCTAAGTCCAAGGAATCATAAAATCTCATGACTTGGATATAGCTTAAAAGTCATCTCTTTCAACAACTCATCAGACCCTGAATCCCAAGATCCCAGTGAGGGGCTGTGTGGCCTCTGCAGCCGTCCTGCAGGGTGGGGACCCACTAGCCTCTGTCCTGTTGGCAGAAAGCTACTCCTTGCCATGAAAACATTGGCTTGCTTTGGCTCAGCAATTAGAGTTCTTGGATTCAAGCTTAAGGAAGTAAGTCCCAAATATGGAAAAAGCTAGCTGCACAAAGATGTGTCTTCTAGTGGAATATACAATACAATAAACTTGATTTGCTTGGAGATTATAAGAAGAGAGAAGGGATTTAGACACCCCAGTGACAAGCAGTTCCCTGCCATCTAGAAAAGTCAGTGCCTGAGCACAGTTTCTGCAGGGAGCCTTGAATAGGGTAAGGTGCAGGGGCACCCACCATGTCAGCCAGCAGGATGACAGAGGGTCCCATGCCACGGCCACCCAGACTGTATTTTTGGCTTTGCAGGCCATGTGGTCTCAACTCTGCCACCACAGTGTGAAAGCAACTACAGATGGTACATAAAGGAATGAGTTCTAATAAAACTTTATTGACAAAACAGGTGGCAAGCTAGATTTCGCTTTAGGCTGCAATTTGCTGACCCTTGAGGTCTACTTTCACATATATGAGTTTTAAAAGCCAAAAAAAAAAAAAAAAAAAAAAAAGGTTTTGGACTCTCCTACTTGTCAAGCAAGATGAGATATCGCACACACAAAAAAAAAAATACAATGCATGTTTGAACTTTTTAAAATGTATTACTGTAAAGGGCACATTGCCATTAATCCTCCTCACTTTGGACAACTTCTCCCACTGCTGTTGCTGCTTTCTGAAGCCTCATTCATGAGTGACTTTCTGAGGTGTGATCAAAACTGCCGTGAATGGTGCTGCCAAGCGCCGTCCGATGGAAAGATGGCCCGCAGAAACAACAGAGGACCTCTTCCTCCTGATCCGCTAGATAGGACACCATGCAACTTCCAGCTCTTCGCCTAAACCAAAGGCGACGAAAGGGAAAAGGGAAATGTTCTGAATGGATTCAGGACATCGAGGAGGCTATTACAGTGTACTAAAGACACTCAGGAAACAGCCCTCCAGAGCATCCTCAGAAAGTGCCAAGAGGGATGGGATGAGTGTGTTCAAGTGAGAAGGGCATTCAGAGTAGGATTCACAGCAAGGCATCTCTTTTTTTGGTACCGGGAACTGAACTCAGGTCTTTGCGCTTGCAAGGCAGGCCACCGAACCACTGAGCTAAATCCCCGGCCCAAGGCATCTCTTTTAAAAGTAAACATTCACTGTATATTTTTATAATACATATAGGGAACTAGTTTAAGAAGTTAAAGAAGTTGGAGTCATTCTATCCACAGTGATCTACACAAAATCCAAAAGCGTGTATAAGAGTAAGCCCAAACCATTTTTTACTAAAAAAAAAAGAAACCACGGGGGTAAAGAACAATGAAAGAAATTTATCACAGTGTCCCCAGTTGTTTCCCTTTGACTGGCTGAACCACGCCTCCCCTCTGTCTTTCCCTGAATTTCCCAGTTCTGCTGTATGAGTACAGGTGACAGGTACAGCACACGCCTCTCCCAGGGGAGCCGGAGGGGAAGCTCTCCTCCCCCTCTCCTTCCCTGGCCTCCCTTCCCAGTCTTCTGTAAACTCAGGCCCGCGGCCTCCTGCTCCCTCTACAGGGCGCTC